GGATGGGGATTGTCAGACAAATAAACCTATAATTAGTATTTTAAAATATCGTGGCTCTCTAGTTATCTGTTCCGAAAGTGCTGGTTGTATGTATAACATAATACCATAACTGCTTGCTAGGAGTTATGAGAGTCTTGATTTGGACGACGCGACAGAAGGGACTCTATGGAGGCGAGAAGTTCACCTCTTTCCAACTGATCTTGTACTTTAAGCATCAGCTTAAAGTCAGGATTAGGACGGAAAGGCATCAGAATTCAGCAAAAGGTGGGTGCATCTTGCGCGCTTGTGTCGTGTGAAAGGAGCTGACCTTGAGTGGCATTTTGATGCCGTTTAGGCATCACGATATTGCTTTTCCTGGGTTGAACTAGTGCAACCCATCCAAAAACTAGGCTAGTTTAGGTTCAGTTGTTGATGTTTTAGTTTCTTTTTCTTTTTTATTTAGTTAACTTAGCTAGGGTATGTATGCTCATTGGTCCCTTTTATTTCTGTCCCTATTTTTCTTTAAGTTTAATTACCCATCCCCTCCCTCTTTAGGTGGTCAGTGATGTCAGTTCTCCGGTGGATGCGGGGCGCCTTTCGTTTCGCGGTAGTGTTTTCGTATTTGTTGTTGTGTTTGAATGAGTGCGTGTTAATGTGTGTGCGTGAGATGAATGAATGATTTAGAGTCCCGCATTGATTTCGGCCAGTGAACTGATATTTCTGCCACATTAAGTGATTGTGTGGGATTTTCTTACTAATAATATTTTCTTTAGTTTCTTGTAAATAGATTGTGCTCATATTGTAAATAAACATTGGGGTTAATTTTTAGAATTATTGTTATATTTCCCTCCCCTCACAGACATTGAATTGTATATATGGGGATTAGTTTGTTTTTTTTTTTTCATAGAGACGATGAGGTATGGTGTTTGTAGTTTGAAAGGTACGTATGAATGTGTTGTTTTGGTGTAAGGAATATTATTCGTACGATTGGGTCAGTGTCTGCAGCTAGCTAAGTTATAATTAAGACAGAAGAAGACCGTCCTCTCCCCATTCCCCTATTTCGGCCTTGTGCCACATTTCTGTTTAATTACAGAATAAATATCTATAATACCATAATAATATCCAGTATAAAAATATTGAATACGTCAGCGGACAATTTTATCTTAGATTTTAGAAGATATTAGTTTTCCACCGAGCGAAAGTAGTTAGCGTAAGAAATACTGTACGCTCTTCCGTTGAAAAGAAATTGATCTTTTATTTTTTTTATAGTAGTAAAATGTGGCATCAAACAACAATGAATGTATTGTATAATAATATATACATGTGAAATACTATTGTGGATCCCTTTTTGCAAATTTGCATGTTTTACTTTTAAGATTGTGATTTCACATTGGCACGATCAATGGAAACATTCAGATGGGACTTGTCGATACTCCATGTTGAGTGGCGAAAGTCAGCCTTTATGCTTCGAGTCAAGTAATGCTGGCTGCAAGAATGACAAGAGCTTTAACGAGGGTCGTAATGACCCCTTGTGCATCAATCGATAGGGCTGCTTGCGTTATATTGAGAATTGTGATAATTAATCACAACCCACGCCTCTCCGGGCAACTGGCTCCACTTTTTTGAAGAAGCAGAAAAAAAAAAAAGACAGCAAATTGACAAATTTATCCATTTGGGTTTAGGTATTCTAATCTTACCTAATTTCCCGCAAACAAACTGTTTTTCTAGTGTTACGTCCTGACACTGGAAATAATACTTTGCTTTTCTTCTAGCCATTGCTAGGAAAATATTATTTTTCTCAAATAGTATTTAAGAAGCTTAAAAATTACTTGCATTGTTTTGATAACCTACACTCATTTTAAAGAGGCACGTTTTTCTGAATTCATTTTTATTTATCATTCGCATAATTTTGTGAAAGCAGTTTTTAACAAATGTAGATGACCTTCGTTTTTAAGTGCAGCTTCATTCGTCAATCTGTCAGAATTCCCAGGAGGGAACTTTGCAGCATTCTCGCATTAATACTTCCGCTGCTGTGGACGTACTTTATACGTCTTTTAAAAACTTACACTGTTTGGTGTCGACATGAAATATCGGTCCCTAGAGATGGGCACATCATATAGTTTATGAAACATGTTCAGCAAATTTGAGTGGATGGGCAAATGAAAGAAGGAAGATACAGACATTTGGAGTTAAAGAACCTAAATGTCATGGTTAAAGATTGCTATTTCTGCTCAAGGTTTTAATACTAAAAATAAATCAAAAATTAAATATCCAAATATTATTTAACCAGTTTTTTATGTTTTTTAGACCGTGAGGTTGACCCTGTACAAGGCCCAGGGGAGCAACTTGATGTAGGGGGTTGTAGTGTAAGAGTCACAGTTTATGCTGATACTGATTATCTGGGGAAGATAATGGTTAATCCTAGAATTGAACAGATTAAGTCTAAGATTATAATGATCAGAAAACAACCTCTTGGGAGTCGGTTTCATGGAGCATTGCTTACAGAATTTCAGTAAGACTAGCAAAATCTTTTTTTAAATATATGTAGTGTCTACGCTAAGGTTCTCGTGTCACTTAGAAAAAAAAAACCTTTACAATAGGCCTGGGCATCCACTTTTATACAAGAAGCCTTTCTATCCTGTAGATTTCCCCTGTGAACTCACATTTTGGATAAGACAACTGAATATCATGTCAAAGGTTTAATTTAACATTTACTTTGATGCCAGATATTTTTTACTGTTGCTAAATAAAAGACAGCTTAAAAATTACTGTGGTTTGAAGTCGTTTTACTAAATGAAACTTTCAACATACGAGATGACGATTGGGACAACTCTTGAAAGCCAAAACAAGTGAGACACAAAATAATTGTTTTGGAAAGCACCGTAAGAACATTTTTTTTAGTATTTCAGAAAAAACTTTACTTGTTAGAAATCTTTTATGAAAATAAAAGATCACGATTGATGCACATTATTTACCAAATTGTACTCATAGTAGAAATGACCTCTGTTTTTTTTAGGTGTTATTCATCTGGATAATGTCAGGTTCAATTAACTCAGCATAATTTTCAGCCAAATTTTGCTGTGGAAGCAAACTGGCATGCACATGTTGAAAGTTTAGGAGCTTTCAAAGTTTTTTCTCCATCAGAATCCATCTTGCACATTTATAAAAATTACCATTTGTTCGTGCATTGAATATTACTGCCATATCTTGTCTGGTGATCTTGCTGTAATCTCGATATTCTTGACAAAATTCAAAGAAGAGTCTGTAATGTAATCGATCACGACCTGACATCTCAACTTCAGTTACTTTGTCACTGACATTACGTGGCTTCCCTTTGTCTTTTCTAGAAATATTTTCATGGCAATTGTTCTAATGAGATTTTATCCTTAGACTGCATGAATTTACGTCTACTACTAGATTGGCAACTAGGTCTCAACATTTTACTGTTGAACTAGCTGGATGCAACCACCACTTCTACTCTAATAGTTTCTTTTCTCTCACTTCTCACCTGTGGAACTCACGATTTCTTGCTTCCCTGCCACTGACAATCTTCAAAAATTTAAATGCAACATCAATTGCCGTCTTCTATTTGCCTGAATCCTGTTCTTTTATTGTCCTTTTCCTCACATCTCCTCACTAAAGTCTTCTCATTCTCTTCCACTCCTTGTAACCCTCTGCGCCCTAGTTGCATTATCACCTTGCTTTGGGTGAAATGATTAAAAATTGATTCATTAATTAGTTGAAAACTAAATGAAAAAATATCATGTGTATCCAACACCCAAACCAAGTAGGTTTGAATAATTTGTTTGTTTAATGGCATATCAACTCCTCCTGAGTCATTTAACACTGAAATTTAATTTTCTTGGGAGATTGGGGGTTTTGAGGAGCATAGTAACCATCTCTCAATTACTGTTGTTCCCAGGTTCACCCTGACCTGGGGTAGTAGCACCAGTTAGGGTCCTAACTATGGGCAAATAGTGTATACCCAAATAAAAATAAAACACTATGAAATTATAAAAATACATTTTTATCGTAAAATGACTAACAATAAAATTTTTATATAAAAAATATGACCCATACATATTTATAGCAAAATGACCAGCAATACATCATACTGTAGTTGAAGGCAGACAATTACATTCAAAATATATTTAGTTGAAGCCATAAAATTGTGTTCAAATTGTTTCGATTTTAGCATTAAATAACCGATAGAGATTGATATGCCACCAAACAAAATCAACCAACCAACATGAAAGAACACTTTCATGACATTGATCCATAAAATATCCGACAATTTTTTAAAATCAAACTGTTTTCCAAAATATAACTTCAACAAAAAACATAAAACACACATATCACTGCCTCTAGTAATCATGTCCCGACAAACAAGGATTCACTTGTGAAAGCAGAATAACATATGTCATATTTTTATTACTACAAAACTTCCAAGAAAAGTAAATTTCAGCATTACATGATACATGAGGAGTTAATATGCCTTTAAACAATAAAATCACGCAATCAACATAAAGTTTTAAATGATTTCCTTAAAGAAAAGAAATGATTGTGTGTATCTGTATATAAATAATTTGTAAAGAAATAAAATAAAAAATTTTGACTTTTTATATTATTTATTTACCATTCATTGTCTATTTCTTAATACTGAGCACTTTACTTACAAAGACTACTTGCCTTAAAAGTGTCATTCTCCACTAGTCAGCAATTTTTTTTCTCAAAACACAATCTTTATTTTCATTATAATGAAAATGCTAATAATATTACTCTAGAAATGCAATGCAAATGTCAGTAAGAAATTATTGTAGAATAATTGCTTTGTTTTCTATTCAACTGCAAAACTATTCCAATGTTATTCCAGATGTTTCACTAGCATTTATTTGTTTTTCCTTCTTTCCTAGAATTTCTTTCCTACTTATTCTTTTTGTTCAATTTACTTTGTTTTCTGTCTCTTCTTCCTTCATCTACATTAAATAACATTTTCTTTTTTTTTCAGTTGACCAAAGAAAATGCATAGGAAATTTCAACATAAAGTCATCCTTATTCTCATAAGTATTTGTGGGACATCTATTATATTCCATCATTACCAAAGAAACATTGTTTCAGTACAGCAATCACAAGGTAAGTTATTTCTTCTCCTGTAAGTCATTAAAAGAAAAATAAATTGGGATCAATATTCAAGTGCATCACAGAACCATCAAGTTAATATAGTGCAATACTTTGCAATGAAATTCTGCAATCACAAAGAGGCTACAGACACTGAGTCACTAATTGTATGCATTTATATTGACTTGATGGGATTTTAAAATAAATTCCTTGGTAAGGATTCATAGCAAATATCTATCAGTTTTCAAGCTATCATTTCATAAAATTTATGCTGGAATTTTTGAGAAGAGAAATTATGATTAATATTCAAATCAGACCAGCATGATCATTTTGGTTGTTCTAATAGCAGTGTTTTGGTAGTTGCATCCTCCATCCTTTTTTGTGTATCTGTTGTTGTACATGAATTAAAAGTAAAAATGGCCACTCAAAACAAATTCCACCATCCAAATCTGGGTACACATTACAGTAGAGGCATAAGGTTTAAGATTCCAAAATTAAGCCATTGGATCATACAATGGTTACATGGTTTAATGCATTGGTTAAAATATATACCTGCTTCCCCAACACTTGTGAGTTCAATCCCTGGGTCTGGTAGCACTGAAATGTTGCATACTCTGATCTCATGGAAGAAACAGATAAGTAACACAAAAGTGCATAAAACTGACATAATGAGAACAATCTGCTCCTGTGGATTGAATAAAGTGCTTATTTCAAAATTCTATGAAGGTTACCAAGTATGACGACAGGCAGGGGAAGGCAGCCCGGAAGGTACATCATGAGTACAACCACCAAGATGAGAATGTTGGTCTGAATAGAAAAGCATAAAATGTTAACTTTTTCCTTTCCTAACCACTTAGGATGGAATATTTTTGTGATGTTATAATGGCTAAATATCTTCTCTGGCACAATTATTCAAGACAATTTGTTATTAGTGACAAACACCATCTATAAATTATCTTGAAACAGATTCACCTACCAGAAACCGAAAACTTAGGAGAAAGGAATTTCTCATAAGATATCTAGTTAGTTGCTTCAGGACAATCATTGTTTCATCAATGTCAAAAAAAATCATCTTTAATCCTTATTAGATTCACTGTTTGAGTAAGAAGACCCAGAACCCAAAAAATTTCTCTTGAGATATCTTATCAGCCATTACCCAGGGGTGAAGATGTCATAGGGATATAGAAGGTGCTTATTAGATAAGTCCCATGGTCACATAATGACTGCTTCGTGATGTCACTCCATACAGTGACCCAAAGTGGGAGTTGATTTTCAGTTGGTGAATAGCAACCAAACAAGAAGTTTGCTTTCTTCTAGCCTGGGTAGGCCTAAATCTGCCTCCCCAGTTTACAAGCACATGATGCCATTTTCCTTTGGGACATAGATGAATCCATCCTGTTTAAACTTGGAGTCTTCTTCAGGTCAGGACTATCTTCAAATGATATTTAAGACCTTTCCTTCTGTTTCTCATACTTTGCATTGCTATGTAGACATAAGTAATATATAGTTCTCCATGTAGGACATGCGTGTATATATATACATATATATATATATTTATATATATATATATATGGTTTTGTGTATGTCATAGTATATAAAAGTCTGTCTGAGAACAAAGCGTGTTATCATTCTTTTTCCTTTCAGCCATTCTGTACCATCCTGTCTGACATGACAAACATGCAGAAAGAAACAGATGAGAATTGTAATGTCAATGAAGTAAAAATTATATTGAAACCTTTTTTTTTATTATTATAGATGCTTTTGTGTCTTATGTTAAAACCACTCTTGTAGGTTGTATTAAAAATTTATTTACCCAGGTAAAGAATCTCTCTTTCTTAGAATTGGCTTTTGTTTTTGTCTTTGGCTGGCTTCAAATGTTTCTGCATTCTCTATCTTTTCTTTTGATTTACATATGTATAGGTATGAATGCAGATACAAAAACATGTATCAAATGATTTAGGATCAGCAACAAACCAACATATTAAAATGAATTCGGAAACTTTATTTCTATAATTTAATGGCCATGAATTATCTTCATTTGGTAACAATGGTTGCTCTTTTTTGCAAACATTTGCATACAAATTTACCTCATATTTGTCAATAACATAAAAATACATTCTCTTCATTAAAAATAATACCTTTTATTTGATTATTTTTTTCAATAACTTCAAAAGGAACCAAATAATTTTTAATAAAACTTGAATGAAAACTTCATATCGAAGTTCAAATTTTAATACAGAAAAAATTAATAGGATTCTCCTTTGAGTTTTGTAGATCAAGCATTTTAATTATTGTATACAGTTTATCGAAATTAATTTCTTTGATGTTTGTTCACACTGCTTCAACCATGCCAACTTGGCCTTCTTCAGATACTTGTTATACCTAGGAATGTTGGTGGATCTTGTTTCGAGGGATTCAAAAAGGTTCCAGAATATAACAGCCATCTGAGCAAAGTCAAAGAGTACATGGTTGAAACAGTGTGAAAAATTCTTGATAATTATTATGAAAAAAATTATTCAATATGAATTTTTTCCCTTAACACTTAATAGTTCATTGGCGATCAAATATTTCTGTAACTTACAGAGTAAACACAGCAGATCTATGATGCATTCTAGGAGCATTTTTGTTGATCTCTTCATTTGTTAAAAAAACTGAGTATATTTAGACTTTGTTTCAGGATGCAAATGTTTTTCTTTTAAAAGCTATCCCATCATTTAAAAGCTATCCCATCATTTAAAAGCTATCCCATCATTTAAAAGCTATCCCATCATTTCATTAAGATTGTAAATAATCATTAGCTTAAGCTTCCCATCATCAGTATCTCACTTGTCTGAGTACAGATTAGGCTTTCAATGAATAGTAAAGTGAGAATTATTGGACTTGTGGATTTAAAAGGTTAACACATTTATGCCTTCTTTGGTATTTAATAAAGATGAATACTGTTATAGTCTGGTTATAGTGTATATACTTGGTATATACTTGGTATATCACTAGTATCCCCATGCCATGAAAAATGACAGCTATTGTTAAAAAGTTTTGATCATGAGATGCAATGAAAGAAAACTCTTGAAACAATATACTAAGATTCAATAAAGTGGAGACAATTCACAATTAATTAGAGGCCAATGAAATGTTTAATTAATCTGTTCCCTTTATATTTATTAGACATTCAATGGTATCTATGATTCATTGATTACTCCTGGTATTATATAAATTACTTTTTGCTCAATATCGTTTCATGTTAAAAATTCTATGTGTTTAATATAACAGTGAAGAAAAAGATTAGCAACAGAACAACAGAGATGGTGACAACAAAACCTATTTCAAGACAGAGTTGAAGCAAGACGACTACTTAATAAATGTATCTAAGTGCTTCCCATGAAAGGCTTGAACAAAGAAAACTTCAATCTAAGAAACATAGGAATAAACAAGCTTGTTAATTGAATGGGTCATTTTGCTTGGGAATTAATTTTGTCTAAATGCAGATATTTCATTTGTATAGATTATTAAAATGCCTAAGGGAAGTAATCACTTATAAATTTACCAACTTATACTGATTTATCTTCCTTCCCACTACATATAAATAAATACACATTGATAATTATTATATGGTTTGATAGGAATAAGGAGATGAAGTGGAATTTTTTGGGATTGTTTATTTTCAGTGATTAAGTTATGATTAGTACTGAGGAACACATTTCACTTAAAAGGATTCATATTTTCTATTCAGTAAAATGACAATGCTATTTTGTTATTATTATTGTTACATCTGATAATAAATCATTTTTTTATGAAAGCAAAGTTATAGTTATCAATGTTTTAAGTTTTCTTCATCATGTGGCTTTTTATCACAATATTCCAAATCCAACTGTCAAAACAAAATAGCTTAAATCAATATAAAGTGGCTTTTAAAACCCTGACTTAATAATTAGAGACTATTTACCAATAAGATGGAGAAGACTATTTTGACCAATAAGCTAAAGAAAAACTATTTTAATCAACAGGATTAAGAAGGCTAGCTAAAAATTAACACTAAAAATCCTCAAAATTCAAAACAAGAAAAATATTTTCTGATAATTTGTTACTTGTTATGAATTTGATTAAACAGTTGATTTTTTTTATTATTTATAGGAAGGCCAAAATTTATACTAAAGGACATCAAATGTAGTAAAATTCTTCAAGGAGATGCTAAAGAACTGAAAAAAGTTCATGCTTGGAATCTCAAGCACCAGTATGTAATCCATCCATCATTTTATATAAATAAAACCAAATTCTGTCATTTATTTCAAGAGGAAATGGGTTATGACAGCTACCCAGTCACAGATGATGAAAAAAACTTTCCTATAGCATTTTCTCTCATCCTCCACAAAGACATTGAGCATTTTGAAAAACTCCTTCACACCATTTATCGCCCTCAAAATATTTACTGCTTGCATGTAGATCAGAAATCACCACAAGATTATAAAGATGCTATTTGGAAAATTGCTGACTGTTTTCCAAATGTATTTGTGGCTTCCAAACTTGAGGCCGTATTCTATGCCTCCTACAGCCGTCTCCAAGCTGATCTCAACTGTATGGAGGACTTGATGCAAAAAAGTGTTGCATGGAAATATCTCATCAACATAGCAGGACAGAGTTTCCCCCTTAAGACAAATCTTGAGCTGGTAAATATCCTCCAAATTTATAATGGGTCAAATGATATTGAAGGAATCACTGGAAAACGTGCACTTATTTATCGAGCAGAATATGTATACAAAATAAATGCCAAGGGGAACATGGAAAGGTTGGATGTGCACAAAACAGTTCCACCTCATGGGATAAAGCTAGTAAAAGGTAGTGCTTATGGTGTGTTTAGTCGAGCCTTTGTAAAGTTTGTTGTAAGCACTAACATTTCAAAAGATCTCCTAAATTGGATGAAAGACATTTACAGCCCAGATGAATATTTCTGGGCAACTCTTCATCATTCATCACTGAATCCTCATCTTAATGTGCCAGGTTCATATAAAGGTAAGAACTGCTTTCTTATTTTCTGGCTAGTTAGAAAAACTTACTTTTTCAATATTTATTAGTGTATCCAGTCCTATAATCAAGACATATTCTTGATACTGAAGAAGGCTCATTTGCATTTCTACCTAAGGATTTTACAGATTAACATATATATTATGGTCATAATGTTGCTTCCCTGTGTCTCTTCTATAAATACCTTCATGGTAATTGTTCTGATGAACTTTCTTCAATAGTACCTAGACTCTATGAATTAAAGTACAGTACTAGATTGGCAACAAGGTCTCATCAATTTACAGTCAATTTGGCTAGATGTAACCATAAGTTCTATGCTAACAGTTTCTTCTCTTGCACGTTTTACTGGTAGAACTCTCTTCTGGCTTCCTGCTTTGCAGCCAACTTTGAGCTTCAATAATTTAAATGCAATATCAATCATTATCTCCAGTCTTGATTTCTTTTCTTGTATTGTTCTCACTCCTTAATAATGTGTTTCTTTTTTTTTTTCACTCTAAGTAACACCCTGTGTCTTAGTGGCTTTACTGCCTGGCTTGGGTGAAATGATTAACAATATATATATATATATATATATATATATATATATATATATATATATATATATATATATGTATGTTTTTCCAACTTTCCCTCTGTAAACATAAGGGGTAACTTTTAGGCCTAAATATTATCAGCCTTAAATTATATAAGTAGATACTGAGGTCAACACTGAGTGACTTCAGGCCATTTTATATTTGCACATACACTAGCTCTGATATTGAGCACTATTACCCATAAATATAGCATACCATAAAACAATATTTTTATATATATAATATCCTGCCTTTGGTGCTTTTTTATTTGATTCACTATTCACATTTAGGGCTCAGAGGAGTGAGAAATGAAACAGGTGGGGGGCAGGATTTTTTGGGACATAGTTTTGTTTTTCAATTAAACTTTTTATGGTAACTATAAAGTTTTTTTTTTGTTATCCTTTCCTGGTGTTTAATTTTAATATGTCTGTTTTTATTGTAATTATCAAACTTTGTACCCTAGTAAATTTTTAAAATATCTTTTTTTTTTTTTAAAAAGAAAAAATTAAAGGAGAATAAAATTTTTATTATCATTTATAGGTGACCCAAATCTGAAGAAATGGCTGGCTTCCTACTCCGCTTGGCAATCTGTTGAACCATGTAATGGAAAATGGGTTCGACAGATTTGTGTTTTTTCAGCCAGTGACTTGAAACGCCTTCACAGACGTTACGAGCTATTTGCGAATAAATTCCACCTCACATATGACCCTTTGGCTGTATTATGCCTCAAAGAGTTACTCTACAACAGAACAATGAATCTCAACATTTCTTATGATTTGACATTTTATAAAAAATTAAAGTTTGTGAAGCACTAAAATCTAACAAGATCATTCAGAAGAGGTTTTGCAGTTTTTCTTTGTTTTTCTGCTGCAATTTTTGTAAAAGGTTGAATGGTGCAAATTTGATTGGCACCAAATTTGACATCAACATTAAAATGTGTGATTCTGGGTTTTATTTAAAATGAGGAATGATTGTTTTTTCATTTCTGTTGAAAGATTTAAAATCCTTAAAACTTATTCTGATTCATGATTGTTGGCAATTTTTGTTTTTTTTTATACACATACATACTCATTGATTTTTATATTATTTCATAATGTTAATAATAAACTTCAATGCACCCAATTTTGTTAAAATTCAGAAATGAATTTAACAATAAGAATCATGCAAGAATTGTGATATGCTGCTCATTGGTTACTTCTGAATCCTTTTCCAGTCAGATTCATTTTTATATAATTATTGATTATCGATAATATTTAAAGACATCTTTTCTTTAATCTGAATTAGTGAACACACATAAACAGTCAAAACTAAATATGATCTGCAAAGTGTTAATAAGCCATAGAAAATGAATTAATAAAGAAAAACTAAATATAATCTCTAGTAATTTAGAATAATAGAATTAACATAATTTTATTACTTTAATATTGTAAATATTTAAAAATTATTATATTACAATGTAGCTTAATTATTATAAATATTTTATCTCGAGCCATGGTGAATAGCAATTCAGGTTGAGAAATTGAAGAGACGAGTTCAAATTCCAGTTGAGTTCAATTACAATCACTTAAGGGCTAAAACATTGAAAAGGTATGAATCCATTTCTCCTCCTCAAAGCTAGGATAAAATAATAGGATAGACTGTGTTCTATAGCATTGGGTGGCAATCAATCTAGGAGAAAAAAAAGAAACGGATTTCAAAACCAGCCTGGAGAGGGTTGGACTCATGCCCAGGAAACACCCACTCCTACACTACATGCAGTACATGCGGTGCCTCTGTGGCCTTAATGGGTTATGGGATATCATGATTGTGAATCTTATATTTTGAGAAGAATCTCAAACTTCATTTTTGCAATAATCTTCTAACAATTTTCATCAGAATACTTTTAACAAAACTCAAATTTTGATTCATTTGCACAATTAGTAAATTTTTTTCAATTAATGAGTTCATGGGATCTTTAATAATCATTAGTTTTTAGATCCAATATGTTTTAAACAAAGTTGTTATATCCAATTATCAATACAGAGTCAGCAGATAGGGTTTAATATCACTTTATTCAGTATAGGGAGAACGACTCTTTATTGATTAGTGATGGGGCCGATAATAGGGGTTCATGCACTATATACAATATCACGCTCCCTTTAGGTAGGTGCTATTGCTTACAAGTTTGTTACACATATGGCTTAATCCTTCAGGGTATCTGGTTCCCAGCTGTCCCTGCACTTGAGGCTCAGATAGGATAGTACTGCTGCTTGTTGAATGGCTAGCAGTTACTACTGGTGCCTCACCAGAATCTGGTACTTGTTCTGTATTTTGGAGTTGACTCTGTGTCTACTATAGGCCTTGGGTCTTTGAGATTTGGACCCTTACCTATTATTGTTGGCGAATGTTCCCACACATGCTCAATATGTTGTCTGACAATCTGTCCATTAGACAACTCCATATGTACTGAAATGAGTCATGACCTTTTTTGTATTACTCCTGGGAGCCATCTCTCCTGACTGTTGAAGATACATGCCCAGATTAAATCTCCTTCCCTGAAATCTCTGGGTCTTGCATGTTGAACATGTCTTTCTTTGACCATCTCTTTTTTCTCATACATATGCAGTTATAGATCAAGGTGGACTCTACTGAGTCAACTTCCTTTTATTTAACAGTTCCACTGGTGACACTCCTGTGGTTATATGTGGTGCGATACAGTAAAAGTATTCTACATATGTTTGTTTGATTGTACAGCCCTCTCTGCTTGACCGTTTGTCACCAAATGGTATGGGGATGAGGTGATATGTTTTATTCTTTTGTTGGTCATGAATTCTTTAAATGCTGCACCAGTGAAATAGGTGGCATTATCCATCATACACTGGTCTAGCAGACCATGTTCTGCAAAGATGCAGCACAATTTCCCAATAGTAGCAGTTGTGGTGTTCATAGGATGTACATCTAATCATTTGGAGTAGGCATCTAAAATGATAAGGAACATTCTTCTTTCGTAATGTCTTGCATAATCTAAATGGATACAGGACCAGAGTTTCTGTGATATGTAGTGGAGCTGCTGTGGGCTTTTTGCAATGTATCTGGCATACTGTGCAACTTTGAATGCAGGTTTTGATGTCTTTATCTTTCCTGGCCACCACACATAGCCTCAGGCTAATGCCATCATCCTACAAATCCCTGGATGCATGTTGTGTAGCTCCTCTAGTATTATTTTTACTTCATGATCTAGGATGATCACATGTTGTCTTCATAATAGACACCCCCCCTCATGCACTGTTATTTCACCTTTTATATGAGAAGTATGGTTTGATGGCCTCCTCTACTGATCTGCCTGGCCATCTGGATTGAACAAATGGAAATATTTGTGATGATATCACTGGATCCCACTTGAGTCCAACTTTTTTTCATCAACTGGCATTGCTTCAAGTAAGTTCACTTGCTGAATTATTTCTCCTGAAATTGCAACTGGTGTGTATATTACTTTCAATGGTATCCTATTAAGGGCATATAACATAGTATACTAATAGGCTGATGTGATTATCCATTTTTGAATGCATCCTGAATGCTAAGGGTGGTATAGTTTTTGTTTCTCCAAATAGTCCCAGTAATGGTTTATGATCTGTTACAATGGTGAAATGATGACCATACAACATCTGGTGAAACTTCTTCACCCTGTATAGTACAAGTCCTTTATCAATCAGTGTATAATTTTCTCTGCTGTTGCTAAGGTCGTTCAGTCAGTGAAGCATAGGCAATGGATTTCTCTTCTCCATAATATGGGATATTACAGCACCCACACCATATGGTGACATGCCAGGACTATTTCCTTTGTACTCTCATAGTATACTAACAATTCTGTGGATGTTAGTAGTTCCTTGGATTTGCGAACTGCCTGCTCCTGTCTAGATAACCAACTCCACAGTTATTTTTGGCTAATAGATGGTGTAGAAGAGCTGGTACAGTTGACAACCATAGTAGAAATTTATGGTACTAGTTTACCATACCTAAATAGGACTTCAACTGGCTGGTATTTTCTGATCTTATGCTTCTATTATTGCTTGCATGTTCGCTTTCACCAGGGTGACTCCTTCTGCTGTGACTTTGTGCCCACAGAATACAACCTCTGTTGCCATGAATTTGTTCCTCAACAACCTCAGCCTTGCATAATGAAGTTGTTTTAATACTACTTCCAGATTCTTCAGGTGTTCTGTCTCATTCCTGCCATTGATAAGAATATCATCCAGTCTCATAATAACATGCATAATCCCTACCAACAGGCATGTTCATAGGCATGGCTTAAATCCAGCTTGGTGAATTGCTGGCCCCTCTATTGTACCTTCTGGTACCTGAATGTGGGCTTTTCATGGTGCCTAGTTCTTATTGGAACACATCAGGGTATTTGTCTATCACCTGTTTCTAAGGTTTATCTATTCCCCCTTCCAGGTAGAATATCTGGGTCCAGTCTAATTTCAGAGTGTTTAACCAATTTTTGTGGATGCAGTCTTTGGCCTTATGATCTCCCCAGCAACAATAGCATTTGCTACTTGTTTTCACCTGTCTCCAGTTTTTGTTATTGTCCTGCCTACTCTTGTTAGTGTACCAAACTTCTTCCTTTCCTCCCGTTATTTGATTCTGGCTGCCCAAATCTGACACATACCTATGTGTAGCCTCTATTCCTTGGACTATTTTGAAGGATTTCTTGAAAGTCACTTTGCTTTCTGACAACAATCTTTGTTGGATATTTTCATCCTGTATCCCACAAACGATTCTATCCCCAATCATGACCTCTAAGGTATCCCTGAAGTTACAGCCCTCCAACAAGTGCTTTAAGTTGGCCACAAAATCTGTGACTGTCTCTTCTTTTCTCTAGACCCATTCATAGAACTTACAACACCAGACTAATTCGAATGGTTTTAGATGGAAGGGATTTCTTAAAACTTTCACTATTTCCAAATAGGATTTATTTATTGGTCTCTCTGGAGCAACTAAATCCCAAACAAGCCTATATGTTTTACTACCTGTCACATTTAATATGGCTTTGCTCCTTTGTGTCTTCCTTGGGATATCCAATTATTAACATGGAGTCAGCGGACAGGGTTTAATATAGGTTTACTCAATATGGCATGCAGCCTTTTTCTACATGAGGTAAAGAGGGAAACAACTCTTTATTGATTAGTGATAGGGCTGATAATAGGGGTTCATTCATCATATACAACAAAAGTAAATTTAAAAATGTTTAAACTGGAATTATTTATGACAATTTACAACTGGTATTATTAATGGATATAATTCATTAGTTTTTCTTTCTTGAGAAGAAAATCTTTCCATCAACTTGATAATTAACAGTTTTTAATTTTTTTTAAATATTTATAGTGTTAATTAAAATTAAATGAAGTCACATTTGATACAGGGGTGGACTTAAAGGTTTCTGAATTTAACAGGGAAACTTGTATATACTTTTAAAAATCTAATATTCATTCTGATTAGAGAATCAGTGGGAAAAAAAAAATTGTAAGCTCCAATGAACATATTTTAAAGTTTTTACATTGGAACATGTCATGTAAAATTTTACAAAGAACCAAGTCCTTTGTTTAAATGATTCCACTATCACTGAGCAACAAAGACTGGGTTAAAAATCTGTTGAAGACAAAATTGGCTATAGTGATTCTGAATTCAGGATTGTTCTAGTACATCCAGATTTGACATTCTGTACTGACTGAGATCTTGTATATTAATTACACTGATGAAAAAGAAAAAAATATCTGCTAGTCAAACATATGAAATAGCAACTTAAACTGAGTAGTGCTGATTCTGTATCTGTACTCAGAATTGTTGTCAGATTTTTAGAATTTTGAGATATTTACATATAATGTGCTATGCATATATCATATTAATAGTATTTATTAATTGTACACATTTGAGCTTATAGAACTAAAACTGAGTATTTAATAAACAATAGCTGAAAAACATGATATACCAGGACAATTCTGAGTACTTATTCAAAATCATCATAGTCAATTTAGTCGAGTAAATAATTATTTGTTTGGAAAGCAGACAAATTATGTCTTTCTGTTAATTTTTTTATTAATATGAAAATATTTACACTATTTACATTGTTCAGACTGTTGTCCTCATCTTTATTGTCATATACACGATGTTTCAGACGTTGTATGCTTCAGCCTTCTTCAGGTTATATAAGTTGGAATTTCGAACCAAAGGGGGTAGATTGTTCTGGTTTCATGTGCCATGCTTTTTCTGGATATTTCAGTTTCAGCTAATTCCCATGAGTAACTCTACTCGCCAAGTTTTTGTTTGCCTCACCTTTGGCCAGGTATAGAAGTTACAATTCTTTGGGACAAGTTACTTTTTGGATTACCTCCACCAACACTTTTATCCACTGGGTTATGTGAAACCAGACCAATCTACCCATTGGACTAAATAAAAGGTTTGGTTTGAAATTCCAACATATAACACCTGAAGAAGGCCAGAGCGTACGTCTGAAACATCATGAATATGACAATAAAGTTGAGAACAACAGTAAGAACAACGTAAATAGTATAGTTACACTTCCTCATTTCAGAAATATAGACACATGAAAAAAATAATGTTTGCTATTATAAAGTCCCTGTCTTATTATGTTTGCTATTTCTTTCCTTGTTTTGGATGTCTTAATCTCAACATTGAATGCAATATAGGCATAAACCTGTAATAAACATTTTTAGATACATATCAATAAACTTCATAAAAATATCTAATGAAAAGAAAGTAATCTACAAATGTTATGTTTTTTTAAATGAACTTTCCTTTTCATATCTTTTCTTAACAGGAAGAAGTAAATATTAATTATCTTGAAATGAAGATATATAAAACATGACATATATGCATGTATTTATAGTTATAGGTAAAGAGTGCTCAATATCAGGGATAGAGCATTTATAGATAGAGTGTGATCATAGGAACTGACACTGCATGATGACTGTCAGTTTTATGCTTCAGTGTGATTTTCACATCAATACTTGGTCTGAAGAATGCATTGAAGCATGAAACTGACAGTCATGCAGTGTTCATTCCTATATCCATGCTGTGTGTGTGTATCTGCAAGACTTTTCAAATCATAAGATTCATTATACAACTGATAAACAATCATTAAAAAGGGTAAAGTTGCTGAAAGAGGCAGCAAAAAAGAGTAAACAGGTGTAGATGTAAGGTTATTGCCTAGTTTTTACAACCTCACAAGAAAACCAAATGAAACTCATCATTTCCAGGAACACCTTATTTAACAAATGCAATCTGTTTCTCTAAATGTAACTTAAAACACTTCAGTCAATTAGATATCTCAATATATTTACACAATAACTGGAGATCTTTATCTAATGAACTTGCATCACCAGAACTGATTTTCTGAATATGAATAAAGAAATGTTCTTATGGTATTATTTCTCTCATAGAATGCATTTCCAATGTTTGTACCTTTAGTTCTGCCTTCAAATATCATCCTGTTCACATTCTTCCCTGGTTTTTTAAACAGGAGTAAAGGTTTATCTCTTGTTTCCTGTTTAGGACTGGGTTTTCAGTTTCTTCCAAAGACTCAGTTCTATACTCCTACTGCTTATCCTTTCCTAATATAACTCCACACAATATTGCTCTACCTTGAGTGGCTCTTAGGCCTTGAATTGGGTGAATATTAGTAAAAGAAAAAAAAATGAAAAAGAAAGACCAAATTGAAAATGAAGTAGAATTATTATGTTGATGCAAGTTTTCACTGTCATCTATTCACAATGGTGGTTAAGTGTGGAAAGTGTCCTTACAGTTGATTCAGCTTTTTATCCTTCATACCTGGAGAATATTTTGGTTTTTATAAGCCTTAGAAAAATTATGAAATATGGGTTCCACATCAATTTTCATGGAAACAAATATCAGTCTGTTCAAATATGTCTGTTTTCCTCATTTTTGGATAAAATAGTCATTTAACAATGAAAAATTTACTATGAGAACTTAAAAAGAAAATTGCAGTCAGATCCGGTCGACCTTCTCAACCAAAACGGAATCTTATTGGGAAAATAGTTCCTCTCTATGGTTTTTGTGAATTAAAAGGAGTTCTTTATTACAAATTGCTGCAATCTGGACTTCAACTTGAGATAGAAAAGATCTTCTGGACAATGAAGATAACCAAATGATTTTGCTACATCATATTTACTTACCTTTTAATTTTGCAAATGTAATGCAAGAAATGATCATAAAAATGGAATGGAAAGTTCTTTCAGATGCAGAGTCTTCTCCAGAATATCTTTTGTTTTGCTCTATGCAATACACTTTGATCAAAATGTCACCCAAACTATTCATTAAATCAAAAACTGAATCAGTCTTTTATGATGGAAGACACAATCTAGCTAAAAAGTAATGTTATAGAAAACCTGAAATATTACTTTGATGAATAATGATGCTGGGAATTGATAAGATTGTATCAAAAATGCTGGAAACCTAATAATGTATTTAATGAAGCTTAAAGATCACACAATAAAGCTCATTTTTGTGTATTACTAACCAACTTAACCCATATCATTCATTTGCCATCTTGAACACAGAAGAATTTAAAGTAGAGAAAGAGTACTGCTTTTTTTCCCAAAGGGATACTGGCCTCTGTGAAGTCATTAAAAATTAATAATGGGATTTAATAAAGTGTATACACATGAAACCTTTTGTAAGTATAATTTAAAAGCTGCTTAGTAGATTTTAATTTTTTTTTTAAGAAAATTTCATCTTAATATATCATTAAGGCTTCCCTTTATGTATGTCTTTTCCTGATTAACAAATATATTTATTCATGCATTAAGTGTGAATAATAAATGCCTCTTATTTCTGATGAAATGACAATTGTTGCACATTACAGTTTAATAGAGAATAAAGAATAATGAAAAATAGTAAAAGAAAAAAACAGGAAATGTGAAAAAGAAATGATACTTGCTGCTGGATGTTGATGTGCTAGAAATCAACAGCCTTAAACAACCAAGACAAAAAAAAATGAAGAAAAAATCTCAAGAAAACAACAGTTTATTAGATAAGAAATGTGTTATTTACATATTTATGCTCATCAACATAAAGCAAAATAATATCACAGTTTTGGGGTTTTACAAAAGAAATACAATCAAATTTATCATTACTTTTCTTCTTTTTCTGATAATGTGTTGCAGTAATTGTATACCCATTCTTTTAACATTTTTTTATTTTTATCAGTGGTTCAGCTGACCATTCTTGGGTTTCTATTATCTGAAATGTGGAACTTTAATCTGAGGGTCTATGCACTTCCCTATCTTATCTGATGCCTCTCATTATAACTTTTTGGAACCATTTTATCCATACATAACCTTCTGCCCACAAGACTCTATACCTAAATTTCCTATTAAAATATCCTTTGGAACTTGACCTAAAAATGGAAGTGCAAGTGAAATTCATTTTTCTCTTAGATGATCAGGGGCCCAACATGTGGATCAGGTTTGCAGAGGTTTTGTGGGAGAACAGATAAAAAGTGTGGGAAGGACAGTTCAAAGAACTCACAGTAAGAAGCTTCATTTGGTGGCAAAATGTATGCACCCTTGTTCATGGTTACAAATTCCAAATATGCCCATGAGTTTATCATCTGAAATCTTGTGATTAAAAAAAAACCCCAACAGACAAGGAAATTAGTCTAAAGGAATCAATATACAACAATCAGCAAATCCCTGTATACCACTGTATTTAGATCAGTACCTGATCTAAATACAGTGATATTTCTTCAATATTTCAGTGCCCATGACTGGTTTCCATTGTGTGTTAGAGTAAGCCATTAAGCAAAATAATTGATTATCTTATTAATAAATCAGTATTTAGAGT